ACAAATTTGTATAATGACATGGGTATGACATAGGTATTACAAGGATTACAACTTGTGAGGACATTACCCCATGTCCCCATTGTTCAAAACGCTTATAAATCATACAGAATGAGTTTTTTTGAGAAAGTAAAACTGCACAAAGGTTCCTGTAAGGGGTAGGTTTTGGTGTAGGGCAATAGCACATACAGTTTGTACAGTATAAAAACCATTACGCCTATGGAATGTCCCCACAATTCACAAAAACAAACGTGTGTGTGTGTCTGTGGTAGAGCTGCGCGGTTAATCCTTAAAAGATCGCGATCTCGATTCAAACACCCATGCGATCCCATTTTTAAATGACAACGATTCGCCTGTGTATTAAACCTTTGAAAAATCATCCAGGAACATTCAAATCGCGCTGCCGCTGACACAGAGAGCAGACAGTTACCATGTTTGGGTAAGAAACCGCTTCACAAACAGTCTTTTCAACCACATAGTATTATTTCTGTCTCACAGTCATTCATATTATCACATAAATGTGTGTGTGTATGTGTCTGTCTGTGCGTGTGAGTGTGTGTGTGTGTGTGTGTGTGTGTGTGAGGGAGCGTGAAGGTGGCTGGACATGAACAGGTTGTCGTCTTTTCTTATATCATGTGTGCGGTCAGTGTAGCGTATTTGAAGCGCACACACAGTGAGGGGTGTGTTTGTCTCTCTAGAGAGCTGCGTGACACACTTAATCTCACGTGACTTCAGATGCACTGCTGCTCACAATAAGATGCTCTCTTTTGTGTCCTGTCATATTTTATATTCTATTCTGCTCTGTTTAGTGATTTTTAAACTGAATCCAGTTAAAGTTTTCATTTAGCCAAAAACCAAACATTTAAATTAAACATTAGGCAGTTTTTATATTGACTTTTTAATGATATAATTATGCTTCTTCTCCAATTTCTTTTTGAAATAAAACATTTAAACACTGGTTGTAACTTATAATAACTTGTTTTCATGACAGATTTATTCAAACACATTAAATACATAATTTTTTTCTAGCCGATTTTCGAGATTATGGTCATTGAATGTCTTTTCTGAGGCAAATGTGACATTATTGCTCTCAAGCGGTTTTATTGCCATCTTTTTGGCATGGTTGAAACACTGATTACACAAGACATGATTGATTTCAGTAAGTTGTTCTGTTTCTGATGTTCGTTCATGTTTATTTGCTGCTGTAACTAGTAGTAAAGACGAAGAGATGATCTATTCATGTGCAGCTTGAACTGATGCAGATACAGTGATCTGTCATGACACATCAAAGTGCATCAAAATTTTGTGAATTTAGTTATAAAATTGACAGAATTTGAATCTATATTGAATCTGAATTTATATCAGAGCACAAAGCTTATTGTGATTATTGGCTGGCAGATGCGCTACACAATGTTTGGTGAAGTTTTGTTCACGCATCAGCAGAAAACAGCATCGACTGAAAGATCGTTGTTCATCGAAGTGAAAATCAATTAAAATTCAGAAACTGATATTGTCAACCAGCAAAAGCATCACACAGCTGTGTTCCCCTGTTGTAGTTTATCCACAGTGTGCATGACACTGACACTGTCAAAACGTGACAGCAAAGAAACACTAATTAAACGTCACCGCTTCGGTCAATAATTTCGTCCCTTTCTAAAGTTTTTTTTTTTTTTTTTCACCTGTTTTACCCGAATATTTTTGGTGCAGTTAATACTACGGGGCCATTGAATGCTTGAATCTCATTGGTTGACGAATGTTCCAAGGTGTGCAATTATTTTCAGACTAAACACCTAACGACTAAAGTAGTTCCATGCAGCTCTTGACTGCATTACATAATCCATATCACTTCGCCAAATGATTTGTCATTTCAAAGGTCCTTACAGCCTAAAACAGCAAAAGAACCAGAATTCCACAATGACACTGGCCAAGAAAATAAATATAGTAAACAATAGGATAAAAACAAATTATTTCCATGTTTTTGCCACAAAATTTGGTTTTATTATGCACAGAAAGCACATACTCATTCTCTCGCTCTCTCTCCCACTCAAACGCACGCACATACAGTACGGACACTCACACACACGCGTGTTGTCAGTGCGACTCTGATGATTTTATCTGTAAAATAGTTACTACATGTACATGTCATTTCTCACTAGCGAGGTAACAATGGCACTGTTCTTGAAGCAGATAAACTAACGGTTTCACTATTAGTAGAGACGCTGCTGCCAAACACAGTTGAGCACATCACTGAGCTCTGCGCTGTGAGGAGCAGTGTGATATTTTACAGAACACTGGAATCAGAGAGCCCGAGCATTTACCTGTCCATTTACATCTGTCTTCATTTCTGTGGGCCAGACTCAGAGGAGATCCTGTTCAAGACATGATGGCATGATTTGTACGCTGGTCTGTAACTCAAACACACTGACTGCAGTCTGGAGCTGCTGTGATTTTGGCACAGATAATTCACACACCAGCACATCACACTCTCAAACACATGCTGATGCACTTTATATGAGTTCAACCTTCCTCCTTTTCCTCAGTTTTTAACACTGTGTTCTCAGAGTGCTTTTCTTCTTTCTGACACGTTTTGCATCTGTTCTGTCCTTAAACTCCCACCAACACACCTGAGGAGGAGAACAGGACAGGCTTGAAGGAATGTTCTGGACCATTGTCAACTGAACTGGAGACGCTGATCATCTGTGATATGCTGTCCCTGACCCGTCCCTCACTGTGTGCAAAAGACAGGAAATGTTTCACGCTCATTCCAATTCAGTTTTAACGAACAGTGTTGTCAGTCATTACAGATTCCTGCACTTTGTCACTTTTGCCAATGTAAACATTTGTCACGGATTGTTTTGCTTGTAACTGAATGCAATTTATTGACGTAATGATTCAGTGATCTCGATCAACATTATCAATAGCTCTTTATTTTAGGGTATGTACAGTACTTATAGTGTTTACAAAAAACTGGGTATTAACTAGGCACTAACTCTGAACCTACCCTTAAACATGTAGTTACCTTACATTATGCAGTACATTTCTTATTACTGTACATGTACTGTAAAATGACATTATCCACTGAATCTATCAGCCCCACATTACAAGGCCAACACAATGAAAGAAAAGTAATACTAAACCTGCATAAGCAAATTTTATTATTTATTTTATTTTTTTTGCAATAAAATCCCTTTCACGGTTGTCTTTTCTGTCACGTTGCAGTTTGATGTCACGTCATGAGAAAAACATAATGGACATGTGAGCACATGTAGATACCGTCTGTGTGTGTAGTGTGTGTCCTCTGAGCGCTGCTGTCTGTCTCTCTGTTCACAGGTTGGTTTCTACTGAACAGCCCACCAAGACCAAGTTCCTGACTCTGGGCTCTAAGTTCCGCTACAGCGGCAGAACGCAGGCGCAGACGCGACAGGCCAGCTCCCTCATCGACCGGCCCACGCCCTACTTCCAGCGCACCTCCAGCAAACGCATCTCTCGCAGTCTTGATGGAGGTATCGCACTTCATTTGCTCTGTCTGTGTGTCACAGGAACACTAGGTCTCGTTTCTAACGGAAGTATGAGTTCTGCATTACTAAATGAAACGTCTCTATATGAAATCCCCGTTCATCGGTTGAGTCTGTGTGGTTGTGTCAGGCTGATCAGAACAGCGTTCATGTGAAATCCACTTTTTCTTGACACGTGCCATTTAATTGGAATTGGAAATATGGGCTGTGCAATACAGCTAAAAATGTATCTCTCTATTTTTCCCAAATCTTGATGATATATAATACTTTTAACATTTAAAAAGGTGATTTTTTTTTGTCCCCCATCTAGAGACAACAGTTATTGTTACAAAGTACATGCACATTGTTTATTGCAAAATCAGGGCTAGTTGTTTAAAAAAAAATCTAGACATACTGTAGTAATCAAATTTTTACTGACTAACCAAACTAAAAAGGAACATTTAAAAGCATATTGAACTAAAGGTATCACTGTACCAACGTAACAATATGAAATATAAAAAATATGAAAATAATACAAAGTGCAATCTTCCTTACCAAAAGTTGTGGTTGTTGCGACAACAAAGCAAGTTCTTTAAAGAAGAACGAAATGTGGTTTTCACTGTCAGACATGATTCACTTTTCACATTTTTGGATTCAATCTCACATTTAAATCCAGTTGTCAGTCCTTTGCAGTGAGTAGCTAGTGGCATGAAAAATAAGGCAAATCGAGAAAGGAGCGTTCCCTTTTTAAATCACTTCATTATAATCAATGAATATCTTTTTTACTTCATGTTTATGTTGTTAGTTGAGACATGCTTAATGAAAGCCTCCAGTGTTTTGAGTGTATTGAACAGAGGTACAACAGACTGACTAAAACATCTGATTGGTGCTCAACAGAAGTGTCTGTAATTGGCTACAATGTTCAGTGTAGTTGTAAAAAGTTGTAAATATAAACACATATACAAGAGTTTGAAAGCAGTGGTCATAGTTGTGACATGAAGAAGTGGTATTAGTTTGGCTTTCTTAAATGTAAGCTAAACGTTTAATATTCGCTAATCGTAGCACAATAGCACAATATTTTCATAACTATTAAATGTTGCATAGGATGACCTGTGATGTTGTGTGTTCAGGCCATGGTACAGCTGTGTGTGTGTGTGTGTGTGACAGGAAGTCTTTATCTGCTCCCACAAACTCTGGTCTCCAGTCAGCCTCGGCACTTAGTAAGGCACTGAGGCGCAGCGCCTGTTTTTTTTTTCTTTTCAATACAACATGCCCAAATCTCATCTGTACCCTCAGAGGAGCAGAAAACAAGCGTGACGGCTGATGTTGCCGCAGCGTGTTTGTCATTGAACTCTTCCCGCTTCCAGGTTATGAACTCTTTATCTGCAGGAAATTTCCCAGTGGTGAATGAGGCCGTTCAGCTGAGGTCTCTCTGTGTGTGTGTGTGTGTGTGTGTGTGTGTGTGTGTGTGTGTGTGTGTGTGTGCGTACGCTGAGGTCTCTGTGTGTGTGTGTGTGTGTGTGTGTGTGTGTGTGTGTGTGTGTGTGTGTGTGCGTACTAGGATGGTAAACCTGAAATCGGCTGCAGCAGTCCCCATGAAGAAGACCGATTAATAAACACTAAATAATACATATGTAAAAATGCAGATAGGTTTCTGTGAGGTCAGTTTCAGGGTTAAACACCGGCCCCACCGTCATTTTGCTTTTCTTAATGATATAAAAACTGCTTAGTTGAGTTGGACAAAGGACGCTTGAACTCTAAACTGAAAGCGTCTGCTCCATACAGACTTGAAGCATGATAAATGAGTCCAGCAGAGCAGCACTGCTCATGTGAACGGGGCTTCAGCATTTATTATGCTTGTTATTCACCTCTCGTTTGTCATGTTTTTTCTCTCTGTATGAATGAACCCAGGTTTGTTTGTCTGCGGTTTATCTGTCGCTGCTGTTCTCGTGTCCTGATATGTTTTCGGCTGAGGGGTGATCTTGTGCTGTATTGTTGTGTCCGTGTGCATGAATAGATGTAGCCGGCTGTCTGCCGTGGACAGACACAGGAAATGAGGGACATCTGTTTCCTGTCTGTGGAGCGAGCAGGAGAGATGAGCTCAGAGGAAATGAGGGTTTTATAGGCAGAGCAGAAAGAAGCACAGAAAGCATCAGCGTCAGGCTGCTGTATGTGTTCATGATAAACGCCGCTGATCAGGGTCAGAGCAGAGCGCACACTCCACAAACAAAACACTGCATAAAAATATTGAACAAATGCAGTTTATGTAAGTATTTAACGGAAATATGAGCTTTATATTTTGACCTGTAAACCCTCTTGGCGTTGCAGCAGTAGACTTATTTCGCACATGTTTTACTTTACTTTTGCATTGTACTTCAGGAGTCATGAAATGCAGTTTCAGATTTTTATATTACATTTATCAAGGTTAGTTTGCAGAATTTTTCCCACCAAAAAAAAGATAATTTTCCATCCTCATTTTTGCTCTCTGGGGAAAAAAAGCTCAATTTTAAGGGGCGGTTCCTCTTGCAGAAACATTGCTGTGATTGGCTAACTTTGTCACACTGTAGCCACGCCCTCATTTACAGCATGTCGTGTGTTTTGATACTCGAGATGGCAAGCGCTGTGATGGAGCCATATATGCTTGAGTCCCAGAGAGAATGAATTGCAACAGTCTGTTTTCAGTGTGGGAATTGCTTTTGCTTGCTTCATTTTCAGTATATAGTTTTTGAAGCACTGTTATTATCACAAAAGATGCTGCAGCTTAAGTAGGTTTGAGAAATTACATTGTTTCTCATTCATTTGCCAAAGGTTAAACATTTGTTTTGGTTGCAGCTTTCGTGCTTGGTGTTTTAATAACATTAAACGCTGGTTTGACGTTTATTACAAACACACTGTAAATTTCTAAATAAATGCGCTGACCTGCATTTTCTCTGTTTGGCACTGCTGTATCTTTCAATAAATACATTGTGAAAAACCACCTGCGTGTTTAGAATAATTCACAAAACGAATTGTGAAATATGAACAACAAATGAAAACTTTCTTTAAGTCGCTCATGCACGTCATTAAAAATAAACTTCAGCCATGCATTTCTATTGCTCAGATATTTAGAAAGGCTATGCAGAGTTTTCTTTTTTCCACTGACAGAACAATGTCTGAGTTTGACGGCCTTACTCAGCATCGTTCTCCAGCAGCAGTATGATCTAGTGATTGATGGACAGATATAGTTGCTCAGAACAGACGATGATGACACATATTAAGGGGCGTGTCAAGAAGAAATTGTGACGTCACGATTCTCTTGATTTAAAATCCAGATGTTTAAGAAAGGCAGTATTTGAAGGAGTTAGTTCAGAGTTTTGAGACTTGCGGCATGTTTTTTACTGTAGAGTGACCTCTTATGTGTGATAACATCAAGAACATTTTGGTTCTCCATTTCATGGTTCCTTTGAAACTGGGGGAAGAGTGAATTATTTCCTGCTGATCATACGCTGTGGCGCTTCAATGTTATGAACTCAGAACATTCCTGTAAGAAGTGGTTTGGTCAACATTGTGAGCGATCAGGCTAAAGATAGCTTCAGCTCTGGTCACTATCAGCCCTGAGTCTTTCCAGCAGTGAGCAGGATGGTTTATTTTTGTGTGATGTGATGCTGGAGAATCAAACCAAGTCGGAGGTGTTTTCTGTATTGGTGCATCTAGCCCTTTAATTTTTTACTGGTTCGCACGTGGTCAGCATTCACCTCGTGTAGAGGGCAGTGTGTTAGCGCTCTCAGGCTGAATTATGCTTCTCTCAGTACTGCATCTGTTGCTACTGTGAGCACACATCAGCATCACATGACGGACGCTCAATAATCCATCATAACACAAAATACATCATCCCTGGAGCAGGGACGTAAACTCATGCTCTGCATCGATTCATGATAAAAGCTTCTGAGAATCTGCTTTCCCAGCTCCTCTCCATTAAAATGACCCCGTTTTTCCTCCTGCTGGGAATCCAGTCACCGCTGTGGTGTTTTAATGATGTTGAGATCGCCCCCTGGTGGCCGCGCGGGGAACTGTGGGTAGCCCAGTTCTGCGGCGTCTCAGAGCTGTCACAGAGTGACCTGATGAAACGGACGTCCCAGCAGCGCAGGCTACATTAGCCTACTTTCACACAGATCAGGCCATGCCGAGCGGGAGGTGGGAAAAGAGCGCTCACACGTTCCTCAGTACCATCTGATCCATTATTCACAGGTTCCTAATGGAGAGTTGCGGTGCTGCTGTAAATCTCACGGGTTATAGTGCATGTTTGAGTGTTAGTACTCTATATTCAGAAGTGTGAACTGTAGTGCTCCTCTGGCTAACTAGAACACACTCCCATATGAACGCTTACATAAACCATATCCAGATTGTGTGTGTCTGTGATTGATGTCTTTGGATGTACATGTCATTTGACCTCAGGGGCTTCAGAGTCCCAGCTGAGGTTTTGGCCATGTTTGGACTTGGCCATGTCTTACTGCAACATGCAACGTTAAATGTTTTAAATAGTAGTGTATGCTATATTGTAGATGCCTGAAATCATCATGTGTATGTTGAATTCAGTAAACGGGGACCAGTTGAAGTCAAATGTGTGTTAAAATCCCTTATCTTGGAAGTCTGATGAAAAGAGGAATCAAGAAAGAGTAAAAACCTTGGCAGATGTTACTTCTGCTTCATTCTCTCACTGGGAATGGAAGTTGTTGTCATCATAATGTGCTGTCATCTACACATACATATTTTGGCAGATGTAGTTGCTAGTCTGGATGCACTTCTGCATGTCCACAGAAATCACTGCTTACTGCAGAATGAAGCCGGGCTCTAATTGTTTCTCATGGGGACGTGAGGTAATTTCAGCATTTACAGAGGGTATTCTGTGATTTTATTGCCATCCAAATCCAGTGTTTTTCTCCCAATTTCTGGCTAAATGACAGGTCATGTGGTCATTTAACTGGCGTCTGAATCCACATCTCTGAGATTACAAGAAGGGATCGATCCAAAAGTCATTTTGTAAATAATATGTGATCACTGTTAAGTGTGACTGTTGCTCTTCTGTAATGTGTACGCATGGACTCTTTTATTACTCAAATGCTGTAAACTGTTTACAAGAATAATGCTATACTATTTAGAAGAAAAAGAAACGAGAACAAAATCACAGACTTTTGAAATGTCATTATTATAGTGTGCAATAATTATAATATACATGAATTATTATAGACATTTATGTAAATTAGGGCTTGCACAAATGTGCATTTTACTAGTCAAACAGGTAGCTGGGTCAGATGTTTAACTTGTAAATAAGAGTTTGCATTCAATTATTTCTGCTAATTTCCACATTTTTGAAATCACATGCATCATTTTGAGAGATAAAACGCAAGACATTTAAACCATAGCACTTCAGTTCTTCTCATTTTAAATGGGATATTTAAATAATCAAATAATAAACAGGATATTATTTTCATATACATAATTAAAATATGAATTTATTAATTGTCTAAGCAGCAACAGATGTTTTGTTTACAGCTGACAGTCATGTGACTGATGATATATATGTCCTATATATGTCCTCATGAGAAACGGTTCATGTGTGAATAGGGCTTAAGTGTGAGCAGTAGAGAGTAGATGGTCATGGGAGCATCAGTTAGAATTATTTAAAAATTATTTTCAGTATAAAATGTATGCCATCCTGTTTCAGCTGAGGTGTTTATGAATTGATTATTAATAAACATGAATGATTTTTTTAAAAACCCAACATTTAATGAAAAATAGTCATACAGTGGCGTTTGAGATCACTGCCTGTTTCTACTGTAGGTTCTTTTCTAATTGAATTCAAACTTTGTCAATGAAAATCAAAGAATTGACCAGCATAACAGTTTGAGGGAAAAATTGAAAAATAAACATGAATTTGAGAATTGTCTTATCTACTTAAATTTGTTTAGTTACCTGTAAATAGTGCAAAACTTCATTTTAAAATCCCACAGCTGTTCACTTCCAGGTTTAAATGGAAAAAAGTCTCACCCTGCATCTCAATGTTCATACTATCCATCCTAAATAGTATGTGAGATTAGAATAAGTGTGTCCCAAAGCATAGTATGTTGAAAAGAGTATGCCAAAAGTCCCCGGATGGTCTACTATTTCAGGTCAAGTTTTGAAGTGTGGATCCGTGCACACTCTGATGGCTAATATTGCCCACAATCCATTGCGCTTTGGTGAAGGATTCAGTCCAGAACTACAAACACGAATAAAACGCGTTAGAAAAACTACAAACATGGCGGATGCGCGCGATCGATGGTTAGGTAGAAAGGTTTACTAAAAGGGGTTTGAGTTACTAATATTCAACATTTATCTTGGTAAAAAATATTTATTTATTGTTATATTTCATCTGCAACAGCAATGTAAACTTTTATAAACATCCGTTTGGTCGTTAACTTTTAAATGCATCATTATGCATAAAATATGAGCAGAGTTCTCGGCATGAAAGACCCGCGACTGGCAGATCAACGAGCTAATTCTTTTCTCTTCAATAGTGTTGGAAGTTAAATTAAATGCAATGTGGAGGATGTTAACTGTGACAAGATGATTGACAGGCCAGTTTACAGTGACAGGATGCGTGTATCGATGCGACGGAGCATCCTTTAAAGACGCAGTTGTGTGACGTGATAGTATGTCCCAAAGCTTGCCTACTCTTCTACTACACACTCAAAAGTGTGTACTTTTTCTTCATCAAAACAGTACATACTTTAAGGGCGTAGTATAAGTAGGCACATTGTGACGCAGCATCAGATTTGCTAAGTGGTTTCAGTCAGACAGCACTGTTTAAAGATTTTAATATATGGACTACTGACTAACGGTATGTTTCTTTCTCTCTCTGTGTGTGTGTGTGTGTGTGTGGTATGCTTCTGTGTGTGTGTGTGTGTGGCGGCAGCTCCTGTGGTGAACGTGAATGATTACAGTCAAGCTGCAGGCGCTGGAGAGAACGGCCCGGCTCTGGAGCTCAACTCTGACTCTAAGGTGAGAAAGACCCTCTTCATCATCTTCATCACAGTCCTCAGCTCTATAGGAAGTGCTCTGGAACAATAACTAGCTATTACCCCTGCTCAGACGTTAAACATACAGATGCCTTCCCACTCATACTGCAACATTGAGTTTCTCTCTTAGGGTGTTTAATGAAAATACTTCTTTTGGTGTTTCATCTTATCCCCATTTTTTTTTTTTTGTATTGATTCTGGTTTGATTTGTTGAAATGATAACTCAAGCTAACCCTAGAATCATGCTGCCTAAATGTTTTGTAATACACTGGGATCATCCTCTGTTTGGAGACACTCATACACGGCTCACACTGCTGAGTCCGGTTCTTGAACAATACCCGGAGAAACCTCCATCCCTAGCTGACCCGTACGCCTCGAGTCGGTCTGCCACCCCGACGTGACATTTCTCTGTCCGTCAAAAGCCTGTATTCATGGCGTCCGTGAGCCCTGAAGGAGCGCTGGCATTCCTGCCGTAACCTACAGCTCTCACATGAAGAGAGGCTTTCACAGACGCCCTACACGCAAGCCAATGGAGGATGTTAGCGCTTTGAGAACTCATCCTGTCTGTGGAACTGCCCTCAAACGCACACAAGCCAGCTTTGTGACAATAACAGCATGATCTAGCCCATTATTGACTGTTTCCGTGGCGACCGACATTCCAGCCCCCTGCTCGTCACCGGCCTGCTCGTTAGATATGATGTAGGTCCAGCCCACTGAAGAGCTCCTGATTGAGTTACTCTCGTTTAGGACACTGGAATCCAGACAGATGCCTGTGTGTTTCTCTCAGGGCCTTTTCACACTTGGTCTGAACCAGAGTTCACTTTCTCTCCACCAGCGGTTTACCTGTGTAGCTTTTGCCAGGGCGACCGATAGTGGATTTTACCGATACTGATAGCTAGGTTGGACCACACTGGCCGATACCGATTAATTAACCGATAGTTTTTAAAATGGATACTGAATGAAAACTAAAATAGTGCTTTACTATTTAAAAAAAAAAACAGTACTAAATATTAAAATATTAATATTGCTTATATTAAACATAAGTTAGCTTATAGTTTATTAACTAATGCTAACAGAAGAAACTTTCAAATTTAAAAATGTATTAGTAATGGTAAATGTTGAAATTAACGCACTCTAACGAGGAACAATACTTAAACAGCTTTCATTAATGTTAATGTTATAAATGGACTCTTATTTTAAAGTGTTACTATTTCATGCTTAAAGATGGTCATCTTTAAATATCTACACAAAGTCCATAGCATTGAAATTACTTGCATATGAATATTGTATGTATACGCTCACACTTGCTTCTGTTTTAGAACACTTAATTAAATAACAAAATATGTTAGTCACACACCAGGGAAAAGCACAGCGCTGTGTCTAGGAGAACTCACAGGTATCTCACACACCGGACCGTCACGTTCAGCTCGAGCGGCGGTCTAAAACAGTTTATTTAATCAACAAACGGACATAAGTTTACTTCAAGAATGAATAATGTTACATAAGTTTGAAGTTCAGTGTTTAAAAAAAAGAGTAAACGGAAAGAGAAAGCGCTATCTATATTACAGCTCCCTATATGAAGCATACAGACTTAATTAGAGCCACAGAAAGACAATTATTTCCCTGAAATATGCACAATACACAATTTTACAGCCTAGGGTGAAGTCATTATGTACATTAACAATGATTTGGGACAAATATAATGTAATTTAATGGAGAACTATGTGAATGGCAGGATTTTCTGTCGGCCGTATTTAAATCCACATCTGAATTTTCCCGCTCTGTGCAGCCTCACGTGTCAAAACAAACAGCAGGAGGTGTCAGTGATTCGCCTCTAGAAGCCGCTCTCGCTCTGTATGACAGCAGACCCTTCTCAGCCGCTCCAGCAACAACGCAACCCGGAAAACTATCGGCAGGGATTTTTGCTGATAGCTGATAGTTCCAGCAATCAACTATCATGCCGATTAATCGGCAAAACCAATACATCGGTCAACCTCTAATCACATAATTAATTCTGCAGCTCACTTGTTCAAATTAGGCCAGATTACTTTTATACCGACTGAACTGCACTAGAGCTCACATGAACCAGACCCAAAAAGACTTGAATGTGGTTCCCAACCAAAACAGTTTAATTCTGACAACTTGTGACCTCAGAAATGTACCAGAATGTCCCTAATGCCATTGGTTTTACTAGCAAAACTTTGAGCACAGTGGACTTGCAAAAGATGCATCAAATGCAAGCTGCTCGCTAAAGACCGTTTTCTGTGGAGATGAGCAGCTTGATATGTATTTCACATTCTACAATACAGACTGTTTCACATTAATAAACAGGAAAATAACAGTGTTACTGTTTTAAAATTGATAAATTATCATTCAGTTTCAGCTGTGAAGCAGCTCTACAGAAGACAATAGTGTCATTCAGCTCAATTTAGATTCAGTGTTGATTCAGTTCACTAAGTCTTTCAGCGTTGGGGAGTCGATTATGAAACAAGTTCAATTCAGTTATAAAGCAGCTCTACAGAAGACAATAGTGTCATAAATCAGCTCAGTTTAAATTTCATCATCTGATAGTGGCAATGCAGTTAATATTGCTAATATTACTGAAAGTTTATATATATATATATATATATATATGTACTGTATATATATATATATATATATATATATATATACATATATACATATACACACTTTTAACATGCAAAGTACACTGCAAGTGCACAAACAACAGGAGAATACTTCTTTTTACAAGAGATAGATAGGGGAGTGGGAACGGGAAAGGTCTTTGAGTCGGGATTCAAACTCGGGACGCCCGTAGTGCAACTGCGCTGTATGTTGGCGCACTGCCCACAAGGCTATCGGCGCCGACAATATTTTTATACTAAAAATGATTGTTTACTTCCACAAATTAGTCCAGCTTTTAAACCAACAGTGAGCCATACCCCAGACACTCTTAAGGCCCGTTCACACCAAGAACAATAACTATAAAGATAATGATATTAGCGTCCACACCAGCGGACGATATCATCTATTTATTCTAAGCGCACGCTCGTCTGCTGCTTTAAATTCTCGAGCTCGTGAGATCAGGATTGATTCTGATTGGGTATCAGTGTTTTTATCGTTCATCAGCTGGAAAAAAAAATGTTTTGAAAGTGATTCCAACGATATTGTTTCTCTGTGCCTTTATCGTTATAGTTGTGGTGTGGACTCTGCTATTCTTTAAAGTCCCCATGAAATCAAAATTAAAGTTTTTTGGGTGTTAGTATCAATAGGTTAGTTTTGAGGTTATCTATAAGACAGTGTGCTGCGTGTTTCAAGGCACTTCAGGGGACCTTTAATATTGAGAACGATTTTTATTACTATATCTTTACCATTATCTTTATAGTTCTCGCGTTTGCTGAAAAGCATCTTAAAGTCCCCATGAAATCAAAATTAAAGTTTTTTGGGTGTTAGTATCAATAGGTTAGTTTTGAGGTTATCTATAAGACAGTGTGCTGCGTGTTTCAAGGCACTTCAGGGGACCTTTAATATTGAGAACGATTTTTATTACTATATCTTTACCATTATCTTTATAGTTCTCGTCCTTGGTGTGAACGGGCTCTCATTGAGAATCTCTTTCATGGCCACTGAAGAAACTGAATTGAGATCGATTGGACTCCACAGCCTGGTGTGAAAACGCCCTCCTCTCTCCTCCTGAGCTTCTGCACCAACACTCTGCCAGCTTATGTTGTCTAACACTTGCCCACACACACACTAGCACACCCCTAAATACCAGAGTCTTTCCTAATGTGTCATCCCTCACACCCCGACCTCGACTCGGCTCACTGACTAATGTTGTGTTTCTCTCTCCCCTTCTCTTTCCCCGCGCACTCCACCATGTCTTTTTGCCATGCATCCATTCCTCTTCCGTTGCATTCTGTCTTTGCACCCACGCAGTCTCTCTTCATGTTCCCATTCTCCCCGTCCTCCTCCACCCTCTCCTCCCTCCCGCCGACCCTCGACACCATCTCTGAGCTGGATGTGTTGTCTGACATCTCCGAGGACGAGCCCGACCTCCATCTCGAGCCGGACTCTGAGGCTGTGAGCTGGCCGGCCGAAGACTCCAGCAGTGGCGAGGGTTTGTCTGAAGAGCCCTGCTCCGCTCTGCCCCGGCTGGGTGTGTCTGTGCTCAGCTTCTGCAGGGGTCTGTGTCTGCCCTGGCTGCTGGACGAGGACGGCTGCATCAGTCTGCCCTGTCTGCCGGAGGACTGCGCCGCTCTGCTGCTCCCCGCAGGACTGCACCGTCACCTGCCCCTCACCTCCTCTTCCCTCATGCCCTCCTTCCTGCTCATCTTCGCCGTCGTCCTCTCCGCCTGCCAGTCGGTAGTGCTGTCTCTGCTGCTGGCGCTGCCTCTGGCCCTGTCCCTGTGCTACCTGGAGCCGAAAACACTCGCGCGCTTCAGGCCGGCGGAGGTCACGGCTGAGACAAGCTCTCCAGAGGAAATGCAGTGTGACCCCGCCGCCTAAACTGACCCCTGACCTCCCTGTTCCTGTCTCCCTGTCTGCCTACCCCCTAATCGCTACTGTGTGCATTTTGTCGCTGTTCGCCTCTATAGCTCTTTCTCCCGCTCCAACTTCCAGTGCCAGATTTTCAGTGTGAAATGCACATTAGTCCCTGCGCTCAGATTGTAGCTGTGTAAATCAGCAGCATTCCAGTGGGACTCTATTTATAGTCCACATCCTGTCTGAAAAAACTCTTTCCCCACTTCAGCTGAAGCATTTATTAGACCCGAACCACTCGACCAACTTTAAAGGGGTCATATGACAATGCTAAAAATAACATTATTTTGTGAATTTGGTGTAATGCAATGTGTTTACGCGGTTTAATGTTCAAAAAACACATTATTTTCCACATACTGTACATTGTTGTTACTCCTCTCTGCCCCGCCTTTCTGAAACGTGTCCATTTTTACAAAGCTCATCGTTCTGAAAAGCACGCTGTGCTCTGATTGGCCAGCTGTCAAGTGCGTTGTGATTGGCCGAATACCTCAAGCGTGACGGAAATGTTACGCCCCTTACCATATTTGGAAACATACAGCGTCTCCACGGCAACAATACTACAGCGAGAATAAAAGTTACGCCTTCTTTCTTTGCGTAAACATTTGGGCGGTGTTATGCAAATCTTCCCACACAGTGACATAGACATGTGGGGGCATGTTTTAGGAGGGCGTGGATGAGTCTTAACTTTTATAAAGAATCTCTCTTTGGGTTTGAGACTTTAGTCTTTGCAACTTTACAGATTTTATATATGCACAAACAGCTTGTAACACTCCAAAGACAAAGGAAAACTTGAAATCGCATCATATGACCCCTTTAATCTTACACTAAACAGCAGGTTTATATGTATTTTGGATAGATTTCCCTCTGAGTTTATTATAGTCCTTCAGGTATTTTATAAGAGTCTCAAACAGAAAAGCAGCATCTCACTCAGACCAGCCTGTCCCAGAGCTCAGGGCTCGCTCCCTATCTCTTTGATTGGGGATTCAGGCCTTCCCATCATCCATTTCACCTTTTCAGACTTTTTTGTCCATTATTCCACCAATCAGAGTCCACAGGTGGAGGTCATGGAGAAGCCAAACGCGGATGCAGCCACTTCTATCAGCTCTGAAACGGCCTTTGAGGTCTGCTAACCTTCCCAGCATGCATCTGTAATCACATTCATATAATTAGCACACAGTCCAGAGGTATTATAGGACATGTTTTGAACTAATCTTCATCTTTTATCTCCGACGGCATGAGCAGACGGATGGCGCTGGCGCTCCTGAGAGAAAGGTCTTTCACTTTTCTGTGAGATGCAAATTGTTGTAATTCATTGTCTTTTTTAATTTCATGTTTTTGTCCAATTGAAAGTGATGGGGTTCTTGCATCATGGTTGTTTGATGATGTGGAATCTTGGCTTTCTTTGCTGTGGTGATGGTTGATTGTTTTTATTTGCTGTTATCCTGTGCTTTTGCTGTAATTACAACTGCAAATGAGGCTCAAATCATGAGCTCTCTGGAGTAATTTGCTGATTGATTGGCTAAGCAGCGCTAGATTGATGACTTGTGATCAGATGCTGATTTGCCTGTTGGTTGGTTACTTCCAAGAACCCTGATACAGATCCAGAAATCAGTAGTGTCATGTATGAACCAAACTGGATCAGCCTACAGTCACATCAGAAAGTCTGAGAGCACATTAGCAATTTGAGATTGAAGATCAATTTAAAGCTGGAAGTCGCTGGCTTAAATTCAAGAACGTTTTCAGTTCAACACTCAAACTGATATGCTGATAATATAATTTGCAATGAAAACTGCATAGTAGAAGCATTTTCGCTGGTGCTCTCAGACTTTCATTTTCCATTATGCAACATTTTCTCCTCATCAGAGATGTTCATCAGATTTGACTCCAGTTCATTACCATCTGTCTTTTTCCTTTTTGTTCAAATGTGTTCTCATTTTTAATCCACAGAGCAAGTTGAGAGTGCAGGGGGAAAATATATATGTCAGGCATAGCAATTTAATGTTGGAGGTTCGTATGTCGTATGTAATCAATGAAAAAGAAACAAAGAAAGAGCAAAAGCATAATGGATGGTGGACATGTGTCCCCTCTCTGGCTACTGTCCTGGGCTGCCTCTCACTCTTCCTCTCTCAGGCTTTGTGTGCATGCATTAGTGTGTGTGTGTGTGTGTGGGCTGCATGTTAAAGCGGGTGCATGTCTGCGGGTGAACTGAATGTATGTGATACGTGGTGTTTTTATCGTTAGTGTAAATGTCATGGGAATGGTTCTCATAACAACACTAATAGTATTTCCCTAACCAGACAGATGACTTTCTGCTTTGGTTGTGGTGATTGTTTATGTTTGATTTTACAACTAAATAGATTTACTCATCCTGGGGTGACCCTGTCAGTGCCAAAGACACCCGGCTCATGAGCTCTGAGACAGACACAGACAGGATTTGGTTTACTAGTAGTAAATAGTTACTTTGCATTTTTCATTCCTTCTGGCAAATAAGGAGTCAAAAAAGCGGTCCTGATAAAAAGCAAACAGATCAATGACAGTGTCAGCCTACTGATGACTTCGTATTCTCTACATGTTAAACTGGAACAAGAGGAAGTGTTTTCTCATTACGACGCTCTTCAGCTTTAGATGAGTGTGCACTCAGTGTCTGGTGTCTCAGAAGCAGTTGTGTGTCTTTGTCTCACTGCACCGCTCCAGTCCTCAGTGTGTAAACAAGTCCTGCCTCACTGCTCCCCACAGACGCTGACCTCTGACCTGTCACCTGACCCTCGTAATCCCACCGGTTTACCAGAACCAAACCTATACTGGGATTGCCAGGGTTTTTCAGATGTGGAAGACCGATTGATCTTATTCAGGATGGTGACCGTAGGGTTTGAGGGTTTAAGTAGGCAGCTTATTTCACTGGATATGATTGAAAATGAGTCAATGAGGGACAGACGTACAGTCAGAGCAATAGTACTGTTTTAAGGCCCTGAGTTAATTTTTAGCATCTACAATTTGTTGACTGAAAATGCAAACATTTTATTTGTGGATTTAACATTAATAGACGGTCTAAAGAAAAAGAGCTATAAAAATTCTAAAAAAAAAAAAATTAGAGCTCCTTATATTTACGTTTTCATAATGCATTTGAAAAATATGACATATTACTAAATAAATCTGTATATATTCAATTATTTAAATTACAAGTGCCATGTTTGTGATTTTTTTACTGCGATATACTGTGATACTGCTTTATTTATTCAGAAACACAAGTATCTTAATGAGATTTGTGTATTTTACTTTCATTTTATTATAAGTAGGCCAACAGCGCCCCCTATGTAAAGGGCATTAGGACCCGGGGGACACCTCATTCTGTTCATGCATTCTCCAATTAAATGCGGCCATGCAAAACATTGAATCCAATCATCATTCAGGCAAAAGTTCGCTTCAAGAATGAGCACACTGCTATCACTATCACACCCCGCGCACATGTGAGATAGCCGTCTTATCGGCAAAGCATATCGGCATTTTTTTTTTTCAAATCGGCCGATGCTGATGTTTACATTTTAAGCCTTTTATGGCCGATTCTGATAATGTTCCGATAATATCGTGCATCCCTAGAAAAAAATGGGTGTCGTAATTGTGAATAAAATCTGGTTAATTAAAGTTTGTTTGGAGTTTGTTTTGGTGACTTGAAAGTATGCACTGGCGAGCTGCGTGGAACCACTGAAAGAAACTCCAGACGAATTTTGTTTTAGCCAGTTTTATTCAAAATGATGTTACACCATTAGAACAGAAGAGTGAATGGGTGAACGAATGTGTGACTTCATTTTCAATTAAATCTGGCTTAAACAAAGTTTGTTTGGAGTTTCAGAAATGTTTACTCCAGATAAACCAGATTTTGTTTGTAATGATGTCACACCCCATTCGTTCTTCATTTTCATGTATATCAGGGCCTTACCAGTGTGCATTTCTGTCCCTCACAACCTCATTTTCTTTTGTGTCAAATTACTGCTGAAGCAATAACGCTGGACATCATTAGTTATTGAAAGATGTTCCAGAACCTGTCAGCTCTGGTCCAAATCTAGCGAGCTTCCTAGCAGCCTCCTGTTAACATCATGAGTGCACACGAAATATTAACTCCCTTTTGGAGCTGCTCTGGTGTCAGAAGTGAGTCAGAGAACCGCTGGGTCTTTGAACGGAGCTCAGGACTCCAGGTTTTAACATCGTCGTCCGCTGGGGTGCATCAGGCGAGCAGTGAGGTTCGACTCTAACGTGACTCCGCTCTCTCCATGACTAATGTGCTGGTTGTTGGTTGTCCCTTTGTTCTCCCCTGCCTGCCTCTTGGATAAGGACTTGGATAAGACCCAGGAGGATGTGTTGAAGCATCAGGCTAGCATTAGCGAGCTCAAGCGCAGTTTTATGGAGGCTACGCCCGAGCCCAGGCCCAGTCAGTGGGACAAGCGCCTGACGGGCAGCCCTGCCACCTCCCTGCGCCTGCAGGCTCATGGGGTACGTGTGCTTGTGCTCGGGATTCGGACGCCTCCTCAGACGCTCCGCATGCCCCTCTCGCTCTGCTCTGCTGAGAAGCTGGTTTACTCTGGGTGTTTTCTGTTGCACGGTGGGACAGTTGGGAAAATATTGCATCAATAAGTGTCTTCTAATATTCCATTGAATAAAGGGGTGTAACGATTCACTTGTTTTTGTCAATGCGTCATTTACAAATTCTGCCAATGCATATATGTGACCCTGGTCTTAAGTTGCTGGGGTATATTTGTAGCAATAACCAACAATACATTGTATGTGTCAAAATTATCAATTTTTTCTTTTATGCCAAAAATCATTAGGATATTAAGTAAAGATCATGTTCCATGAAGATATTTTGTCAATTTCCTACCATAAATATATCAAAACTTAATTTTTGATTAGTAATGTGCATTGCCAAGAACTTAATTTGGACAACTTTAAAGATGATTTTCTCAATATTTAGATTTTTTTGCACCCTCAGATTCCAGATTTTCAAATAGTTGTATCTCACCCAAATATTGTCCTATCATAACAAACCATACATCAAACCTCAATTAAAAAAAAATTACCCTTATGACTGGTTTTGTGGTCCAGGGTCACATATCACATTGATCTTAAAACCTGGATTTTTGAATTGTGACCCGTTTGTTTCAGTCTTTAAAAAAAATCTGGAGTATGGAATAGTTTGCAAGATGTTCTCAGCTCTAAAGAAATATTTTATCAGAACATTGCACTCTTTGTTCTATTCTAAGTAGCCCGTACGGACACATATTTAATGCGTTTACTCTTTTTATTACTTAAAACGCATTAGGAGAAGCATTCATATCTACTGTATGAATGCACTTAGAAAAACCCGGAATCAAATCATTATTCAAAATTAAATTGAATCTCATTGTGAATCTGATTGCATTGGTCTGCATTTGCAAAAACTGAGTTGAAAACTTGTGAATCGCGAGTAGTCATTCAACTTGCTGTAGGGTTTTCCAAAAACACATTGAGCTTAAAAAAAAAAATGTATTTGCTTGAGCAAAACAAAATAATTTTTTGCACAAAATCAGATTTTATTCCTGTTTTGAAATGTGTTTTGAAATAACATCTTGACAAACACTTTTGGACCATTCGTTCTTTCCCCACTGCTATGACTAAAAATGGCGAGCGACTTCAGTGCCTCTGAGATGCCTCGTTAACACCTGCCACTCCTGACGTCACAATGCTTAGTTCTGGTACTATGAAAAGGTTCCTGCGGTGCGAAAGGCCCTATTGTCTGCTTGAGTCTTAAGTAGATTTAAGAAGACGACCCACAATCCCAACTGTCCCACACACACGCACACCTCCTGTCCTCTACACCAGCCAATGGCAGGGCAGTTCTCAATCTGATTGGTGCATCTGTTCACTCTGATTGACTCTTTGAGTTCTGTTGTTCATGCTGTACGTTTGCTCAGTCTGTCCTTTGGTTTCCTCACTGCTCATGAATATTTTGCGTTTTCTAGCAGAATGCTTCTCTCATTGTTTTGGTTTGCTCAGTTGCAGTCACGTTGTCTCATTCAGCTGCGCACATGCTCCCTCTGTTTGTTTGTATGTTTTAAAGTTACTCTTTTATCAGTCAGTGTAAATGATAAGCTCCTGTCAAAGACTATATTGCACATGTTTGCACTTGTGTGTTTGTGTGCGAGTGATTTTTGCATTTTATTTGCACCCGTTTCTTGATGCCGTCACTCGTTGAACACTGTTTCTGGGTTACAAACACTGTTGTTCGCAATTCGCACACATGCCCTCTGCTCTGTTCATGTTAAAATGCCTTACTGCTATTCCTGTAGTGTGTTTGTGTGTGCATGTTGTGTTAGTAGCTGTTCTCTCCTCACTCTGTAGAATCACTGAAGTGCTTTTGTGTTTCTCTCTCTCTTGTTTCTTCTGTTTCTGTGTCTGTTGTTGTCCTTGCACCTGCTCGTTTCATGTCTTGCCCTTTGCACAACTCCTGTAGAGTCTGGAAGAGGAGCTCACCTCTCTCTTTCTGAGTAAGGCGTGCTTCTCTGGGCTGGCTGGCTCCTGCAGTACTGCTGCTGCTCCAGCAGAGGCCAGTAAAGTCTCAGCCGTTACCGCCTCTGTCTGTCTCTTCATCTGGCCTGCTCTGGCTTTCTGTCTTCATGCAGCTGCTTACGGCTTTATATTCTCTACTGCCACATGTCTGCACCTCTTTAAAGCAAACCAAGTTCATGCTCAGATCTGGCAGTCGGTATTGATCCAGCCCTCGCTGATGTGTGAAGAAACACTGTGTGTGTGTGCACATATAGAAATAATGTACTAATGTTCAAATGTTTGGGGTCGGTAAGGTGTTTTTTTTTTTTTAGTCTTTAAGATCTCCAAGGCTGCATTTATTTGATTAAAAATACAGTAAAAATAGTGAAATATTATTATGACTTAAAACAGCTATTTTCTCTGTGAATAGCTGTTCAAATGTAATTTATTTTTGTGATCAAAGCTGAATTTTCAGCATCATTACTGCAGTCTTCAGTGTCACATGATCTTCAGAAATCAGTCAGATATGCTGATTTGCTGCTCAAGAAACATTTATTATTATTATCAATGTTGAAAACAGTTGTGCTGCACAATATTTTTGTGTAAACTGTGATACATTTTTTAGGATTCTTTGTTAAATAGAATGTTCAAAAGAACAGCATTTATTTGAAATAGAAATCTTTTGTAACATTATGAATTTCTTTACAGTCACTTTTGATCAATTTAATGCATCTTTGATGAATAATAGTATTTGATTAAAAAAATACTAATGACCTTTTGAACAGTAGTCTATAGATGCAAATTATCTAACAGCGGTTCAGAAATGGACAACAAATGTAATTAAATGTACAATAAAGCCATCAAAATCAAAACACGGTCATTATATGACACAATATGAATGAGACTTGAGAGCTACAGCTCCATTTATACACGCATGCATCAGTACACATCTCTCCTGCACCGAGTGTCTGTGAATCACACACATGAGAACAGCTCTAGAGGGTTTCACTGCTGGACTGGTCATAAACATCCAGTAACAACATAACTAGCAAATCATTTCCATCTCTGCCATCGTGTGTGTGTGTGTGTGAGAGAGAAACGTCTTGTTTTGTGTGTGTTTGTGATGTTTCTGTTCACTAGCATCACTGCTGACTGCTGTCCCGTCCACCGTCTCAAACCCGTTAACTCTCTTTACCCCTGCTGTCTCGGGTCATCCGATCACTAGCGGTCAGTTGGGACACATGTCTCAAATGCATCTCCTGTGATCGGGTCACACAGGCAGGTCTCGTCCCGTGAAAGACTCCTCTGAGAGCGTGTGTTTGAGTGATTGTGTCCTATGATTACCTCCAGGTTCCACAGAAAACCCCTCCCCGTCCTGAGACGGACATCAGAGACGCCAGCAAGGTGGTCCATCGTCCTCGCTCAGCCTAACACCTAACATCACCTGAGCAAACACACACCTAACACTGCACACGCATCTCATCCTTTTTCCATTGCAGACATCATGACTCCAGCCCTCTTCACCAGATTGAGCATCCATCTTTTTGTCCATGCATTCATTCATCTTTCAGCTTGTTATGATTGTCTCTCTTTCTCGTTATGTTGCTTGTTGATTGTATGTGTGTGGTGTTGTAGTGTTTATGGACCTTAGTTGGAGGAGATGCCATGTTTGATTCGGCACAAATGAGAGCAGTGCTGTGAGGGACAGATGTACAGTGTGTTCAATCTGATGCTTACTCAGTAGTTTTATCTTGTTTAAAGAAAACTATCTAAAGGTCCTCACAAGACGGCACATTTAATTGAGAGACGAATGTGTATGTAATACAGATGCCCTGTCCAAATACCCACACTTGCGGTCTTGGCCACTTGAGAGCGCGTGCACGAGTGCCCTTAACGCACACTAAATCCATCTCGAGCCTTAGTGTATCCCATCATGCATCATGTTCTGGAAATAAATCGTCAGACTTTTTGCCGAGATCTCGCGATAAGTCACAAAAACCTTTCCGATGTAAGTTAAATATTAGGGCTGTCAAAATGGCTGAAAAACTAAATTTGAATTTTGTACTTAAATATTATTAAAATTCAAATTATATTCGAATTTAAAATGCATAATTTCAGTTAGGGTGAAGTAAAGCTTTTGGCTTCTCTCCTGAGGCCACAAGAGGGCGCATCGAGCAAAATATTACTAATGCACGTTTATTCAAAGCATGAGATAACATGACTATCTGTGGAAAAAAGTGCATAATGTTTAAAATAATGTTTATAAACCAATTATAATTAAGTTGTTTAAACAACTATAAACAAAACAGCATCATGCATGTATGCATAGTTTAATACAAAGGACCGAAAGCCAATCACACAGAGTACATGTTTCATTTAAAAACATAGTTGCAGTGGGATGGGAAAAAAACCCGCCATAAAGTCTCAAGATATGTTTTAAACTTGCATTCATTTTACATGGCTTTCTAAACATGTGGCTCTTTTGTGCAAGACGCAAGTGCAATGGTGATAGATGTCCCTCTAGAAAATGCGTGAAATATGCATTCTGTGTAAACGGCTTGGTTTTAGTTTTGATCAAAACAAAACGTAAACAAGATCTTCTCTGCATTGATGTTCTCTTTTAACGCAATATTTTTAATGAACAACTCAGCAGCACCGCATCTAGTGGGTTCAACTGGATAGGCTGACAAAAATATTAGAATGCAGTGACACTTATATCGTCATTGCATCTCGTTGATAAGGCTGTCTGATGCACACCTAAAATTTTAATGCAACGTTTTTTGCTTTCGAATGTGGATTTTTATTTTAAATTCGACGAATATTCGAAATTCAGATTTTTTTTGACAGCCCTATTAAGTATTAATAATAATTAGATATTACAAATAATTTAGTAGTAAAACAAAGTGTTGCACGTTTTATTGGTGCAAAGACAAGTATATTTACTTTGTACAACAGTTGCAACTGCTTTTTATCACTTAATTAGAAGCACCACAAAGTAAATTGTCATCTGTTATAGGGGCTACTGAACAGATATTTAGAAGTTGATTTTAAAATGCAAAGTATTGAAACAAAAAATTAAGCCCTGCAAACACTTGCATTTTTACAGAACTATAAGTGTGTCCCATCAGTTAATGAAAAGTTTAACACACACTCGTGGTCTTCATGCTCACTTGAACACTTGGGCCAAATACAGGAAATGCATCATACAAGTAGTCAAGTGCAGAGACTGCAAGTGTGGGCATTTGGACAGGGCAAGTAATAGGGATTGTTCACAAATAAAGAAGAACCGCGGCAATGTTTCCTCTTGTTTTAGGCACCAGACAAGGCAAGGTGTAATTCTTGTAGACTGTTTCGCTCCTTCTCAAGTGTGCATCACACATTTCAATGCGTTTTCAAGGTCCACAAAACTGCACTCATTGAACAGACTATACATCTCTACGTCACAGCTTTGTTTTTATTTGCTTTACTTTACATTGACTTTGACTAAGGTCTGCGGGAAGTTTGTTTCCTTCAGGTTTTGTTCTTTGGTCTTGGTTTATGTTTTTTGCTTTTCTCTCCATCCCTCGTGTGTGTTTGTGTGCTTGTCTGGTGTAGAGCGCAGAGGGTAAACCCGAAGTCAGCGACCAGCCAGAGGTCATAGAGGTCGTGGAAGAGACCGTTGTCATCGAGGAAGTCGTCAAAGCCAAACCCAAAAGCCCCGCCCCTGAGGCGCCGGTTACCGTGGAGACGGAGGTCAAGGAGGAGAGGAGTTTATCGTCAGACAGCGAGAGCGAAGAGGAGGCGGAGTACCACGCTCAGCCGCCCAGCACGAGCATCTCCGCCCAGCAGATCAAAGAAGAGCCCGAGGAGGAACAGGAGGCGGTGCTTACTCAACAAGCCCCGCCCTCTGTGGTAGAGTCACAGCCAATCACAGAAGCAGCTGAGCCCGGCCCTGCGGCGGAGGAAGAGAAAGCAGCGCAGCCTCATGAGGAAGAG